ACTACTACTACTACTACTACTACTACTACTACTCATATAACTACCACTACTACTACTTCCACTGCTACGGCTACGACTGCTAATCACTACTCCTACTACTACTGCTACTCCTGCTACTGCTCCTACTACTACTACTACTACTACTACTACTACTACTACTACTACTACTACTGCTACTGCTACTGCTACTACTACTACTACAACTACTACTACTACGACGACGACAACGACGACTACTTCTACAACTACTACTGCGGTGACAACTACCACTAGTAGTACCACTACTACTACCACCACCACCACCACCACCACCACCACCACCACCACCACCACCACCACCACCACCACCACACACCACCACCACTAATACTACTACTACTACTAATACTACTACTACTACTACTACTACTACTACTACTACTACCACTAACGCTACTACTCCACTACTACTACACTACACTAACTACTCATTACCCAGTACTACCGTACTACCTGGACCACTCATACTGACTACCACCAACCACCGATCGCTCCACACACACCCTCACGCACCACACTACTACTACTACCACAACTCCTCCTACTACTACTACTACTCTGACTACTGCTACTACTGTCTACTGACTACTACGACTACGACTACTACACTACTACTACTACTACTACTACTACGGGACTACCGACTACAGTGACTACTACTACTACTACTGACCTACTGTACTAAGGGATTACTTTCTATCTGCTTACTGACTACTATACTACTACTACTACTACTATACTACTACTACTACTACCTACTTACGTCACACACTATCCACTCCATGACCGACCCTACTACTACTACTACTACTACCAACTACTATTACTACTACTACTATCACTACTACTACGACTACTACCTACTACTACGACGACTCCTACTACTACTACTAATACTACTACTACTACTACTACTACTACTACTACTACTACTACTACTACTACTACTACTACTACTACTACTACTTTACTACTACTACTACTACTACTACTACTACTACTACTACTACTACTACTACTACTACTACTACTACTACTACTACTACTACTACTACTACTGCAGCTAGAAACAAGTCGGCCAAAGGCAGCCTGGTGCCCATGGCGCGGCGCGAAAGACATTGCACGGCACGGGCCAGGCACGGGATGGCACGAGCATGGGCCTAAGCACAACGCCAACACATAGTCATGCCAATACGAGCCCGGCCCAGCCTTGAAATCGGCCTTGCAAGGACCCCGCCCGCCCCGCATCAGCACTGCCTTGGGCCACGCCCCCGACCGCCGACGCCCACGTCGCCCCCGCCGCCGCTAGTTCCACCGCACTTTGTGAAGGACGCAGGCGCCTGCGAAGGCGGGCACCAACGGCCGTGAACACATCGAAGCAGAAGTACTCACCCCGCTCAGCCCGAAGAAGCGCGCACGCCGGGCGCAATGGGGGTCGCTGAGGAGCAAGACGGCGCCAGGCCTGCGCAGGCTCACGGTGCGCGTCGGTGGGGGCACCCGCAGCATCAGAGCAGCAGCTGAGGTGCGAGGCACCCGCACCAACGGTGGCACAGCGCGACAGAAAACTGGCGCTGGGCAGCGGGCCTTGCTGCAGAACGTGGACACCCACAGGCCGCAAAGCACCCAGCGAGATCCCACGCTGTACACATCAAAGCTCGGGCCACCGGGAGGCGGGGTAGGTAAGCGCGCGCAAGAGGAAGACGAGGATAGGGGAGAAAAGTGCAGCGGATGACAACTGTCGAATTGGAACACTGGAATTGGCGCCATCACCACTCGCTTTCGGCGATCCCCGCGCAACGCGGATGAGGGGAATCCCAACTACCCAAAGACCTGCCCCCGCACTATCGTCCACCTCACTTGCCTCGGTCGCGCTCGCTGGCAGTATCGCGGGAGCAATCGTTTTTCGTGTGTGTGTGTGTTGCCGTGGTGTTGTTGTTGTCATTGTTCTGGGCCTGCCACTCGTCCTAGCTGCCACACAAAAATAATATGCCTTGATCGTTGAGAGCGTGTGCCAGCCATTCATGATAAATACGGGCTACATTCATCACCAACACTTCGGATGGATTGGGCGTGATCTTGGCCGAGGCTATTCTGGGCAACTCCACTACGACATTGGCGCCCGACTTCGCCCGAAGCACACACTCTGGCACAACGAACAGTCGAGCAAGAAACAAGCCTGCTTGCCATCACAGTGAGCACAAAAACGCCAAGAGCAAAGGACGGCACAACCTGCTCCTGGACAAAAAACTTGTTGAATGCTGAAGCATCTCCCAGACCGAGATAGCTCATCCATGTGGGCTGACGACGAAGATGCACGGAGGAGGGGGAAAAGAGGAAGCACCCGAAAGAGGAGGACAAGGGACAGGAGAGCAGAATTGTCAGCGCCCTCTGAGCACCACCCGAAGGAAATCCAGCGTGTATCTTTCGCTGGCCACGTTTCTGCGCCATGATCCCGGCGACGTGCTCCACATACTGCCTCAGCACAAACTGTATCTCTGTCTATCTCTCTCTTTCTCTCTCTCTCCCTCTTTTTCTCTCTCGCTCTCTCCCTCCCTCCATCTCAATGTCTTGTTTTCTCTCTCTATATATATATATATACATCTCACTTTCTCTCTCTCTCTCTCTCTCTCGTTATCTCTCCTCCCCCTCTCTCGCAGACTCCCCCTAAGAAAATCTGGAGAACAGAAGGAAAGAGGGGAACTGAAACAGAAGCGCTTCAGATGTCGCTTCGAATGATAGACATCTCAAAACCGTCGCAATAGAACCCCAGCCACAACCACGACGAAGGACCTGCACCTGGACATGCCCGCACACAGTTGAGGCATGCAACCCACATGGATGAGGAGAGCCACAACGAGAAAACCTGAACTTGCCTGTTGCCGTCTGTTTGTTCGCCCCCGATTCACCCGCTCGCCTCCCACGACCGGCATCGTGTGAGGTTGCGCTTCTTCCGTGAGCAAACTGCCTGCGCGTGCTTTTGGCGCGCAGCTCGACCCAAGAGACCTACGCGCAGGCGCCGAGCGTTTCTTGAGCTGGCCGCTCGTCCTCCTTCTCCTCCTCCTCCTCCTCCGCCTCCTCTTCCTCCTCCTCCTCCTCTTCCTCCTCCTCCTCCTCCTCCTCTTCCTCGTCCATTCCTCTTCCTTATGACTAATTTCTCCCTGTCGCACCCCGAGGCCAGTTTTTAGGGCGGGCCGGGCGTTTCGCCTGAGACTTCCTCACTTTTTATGACCCTGAAGCTGAAAAATTGGCAACAGCTTCACAGACGGATGGTCATTTTCAAAATGTGGCTCTCGCTTGGGCGCCGCGCACATTCGCTTTAAAGAAATTAGCCTGGCGAAGGACCCAACAATAAGCAGTGGTACGCACCGCAGTTGTGAGTACCATCTTCGGTGGGTCCTCGTGTGCGGCCACGAAAAGTTTGAGGGGTGTGCCAAAGTGGCCCGTCGGCGGCAGGCGGCTTTGTCCACTGGGGCTTTCGGTGGAGCTCCTCATGGGGACACGAAACGTGCGACGGGTGTGCAGAACTGGGGCGGCACCGACATGCGGACACTGCCGCTGCGACCTTCGGTGGTGCCACCTCAAGCCACAAAACGTGCGAGGGTGCGCCAAAATGTGGGATGGAACCGCATACGGGCGCTGCCACTGGGGCATCAAGTGGAGCACCTTGTGGGGCCACGGAACGCGTAAGGGGTTCGCCGAAATGGGGGGCGGAACCGCATGCGAACGCAGCCACTGGGGCCTTCGGTGGAGCTCCCTATGGGGCCACGAAACGTGTGAGGGGTGTGCCGAAGTTGCGAGGTGGCCGCATGCGGGCCCTGCCACTGGGGCCTTCGGTGGAGCTCCCCACTGGGTTTCGAAGCGTGTAAGGGGTGTACCGAAATGGCGAGGTGTCGGCATGCGGGCCCTGGCGCTGGGGCCTTCGGTGGAGCTCCCTATGAAACGACGAATGGTGTGACGGGTGTGCCGACATGGCGAGGTGGCAGCATGCGGGCGCTGCCACTGGGGCCTCCCTGCGGGGCTGCGAAGCGTGTGAGGGGTGTACCGAAATGGCGAGGCGGCGGCATGCGGGCCCTGGCACTGTGGCCTTCGGTGGAGCTCCCTATGGGGCCACGAAACGTGTGAGGGGTGTGCCGACATGGCGAGGTGGCGGCATGCGGGCCTTGGCACTGGGGCCTTCGGTGGAGCTCCCCACGGGGTTTCGAAGCGTGTGAGGGGTGTACCGAAATGGCGAGGTGGCGGCATGCGGGCCCTGGCACTGGGGCCTTCGGTGGAGCTCCCTATGGGGCTACGAAACGTGTGAGGGGTGTGCCGAAATGGCGAGGTGGCGCGGGGCACTGTCTCTTCAAAACGAGGACCCAACACCACAGGTTGGTTGGGAAAAAATGCCAGGCTTCGCGTATGGAGGGCGAATGGTGTTCAAAATGTGGCTATCGCCTTAGCGCCGCGCACATTCGTCTTTTACGTCGCAAGAGTTTCACGGATTGCAGGAGGCTCCTTTTCAAAGTGTGGCTCTCGCCTTAGCGCCGCGCACATTCGATGTTGTTTTAATTGCAAGGGCTTCGCGGATTGAGAGCGGCTCCTTTTCAAAATGTGGCTCTCGCCTGAGCGCCGCGCACATTCGTTTTTCAAACTTGCAAGTGTTTCGCGCAATCCCATGATCAGCGTACCAAACATGGCGTTTTGGAAGGATTCAGGATTACGAGGGTGCAACAGTTAGTTGATTCGCTGTGTTGAGGTCCCAGGAATGGCTTTCTGGTACGAGTCAGGATCGCCAGGACGCAACAGTCAGGTTGATCCGTGGCGTTGAATTCCCGAGAACGATGTGTTGGCATGATTCAGGGTCTTCGAAGGGTTGTCTTCCAACGAGGCAGTCCCCTCAGTCGAAATGAACCCTTGTAGGGGCCTGCGAAGAGGGAGTTTGGAGGGAGGGTTTACTCCAACATCGTTAATGACTCTTGGGTTTACACTGGTCCTCCTCGTCCTCCTCCGCCTGCTGTGTACGACGCATCCTCATGCTCACCCTCCCCCTGCGTGGTCTAATCCTACTTCGAGCTCGCATCTTCACTACCAGCATGATCTTCGTCTTCATCGGCACTGTCTAAGTCTCATCCACATCATGCCATCCATCGACACGATCGTCGTCATCATCAGAATGCTATTCCCCATCGTCGACCTTCTCTCCACCATCGTCACCGTCGCCATCACCACTACAGCAGCTGCTTCACCCGCCGCCGTGCCAACCGCACACTCAGGCGACTCCTAATAAATCTTAGATGTTCATGACGGTGTCTTGATTGGCCCATAAGCGACTTCTTCACTCCTCGCGCTTTGGCTCCGCAAGACGGCCCAGCATACGTGAAGACCACCCATAGTTAGACTGTCCAGGGATGCCTCAGAGGCCTCCAGACAGCCCAAAGTTGGACTGCCCGAGGCGACCACGAGAAGGCCCCAAGAGAGCCCAAATACTTCCCAGAACACCCGAGTCCGCCACAAATAGGATTCAAGACAGTCTCAGCATCCCCGAAACATTTCTGCCGAACCTTCACGAGAGAGCCCAGTGGACCCATCGCACCTGAGACGGCCCCGTGACTCCCAACAGGCCCCCGGGTGCCCTGCCTCCACGAAGGCCCCCGAGGGGTCCCCGAGAAAGAAGAGGCCCCGAAGAGGCCCCCAAGAAGATCTCAGGAAGCCCACTCGGGAGCGGCCAAGAGGGGGGTGTCCCAGAGGGGGGGGTGCAAATCATGACCGGCGGCATGTGCGCGGTCCAGCGGGGGGGCCAGGGACGGAATGAAATGAGAAGAGGCGCCATGAAATCTGGGGAAATATCATGGCCCCCGCCATGATATCCACGCCCCCCCTAGTCATCCCCCCCCTCTTTTCCGCTCCCGACCCACGACAGGCAGCACGGCAATCCTGTAAGGCTTCTGGCCACGCCACGCTGCTTGTTGCAGCAGCGCAGCGATGCTGCTCGGACAGCCCCAGGGGCGCTCTGCCGGGCCGTTGCAAGGGAGAGCTCGGCAGAACCGCCGCGCCTGCGACGACCCCAGAGCGTCGTCGAGGCTTCCCTGGGGGTCACGCCCTCGTGCTGCCGAGCCTCCTCGGAGGGGCCTGCACTGGCCCAGTGGCGAGGCTTGCCGCCGCCTTTCAGCAACGTGCGTCTCGGAGCCCTCAACGGTGCCCGCCCAACGCTTCGGCAACGCGCCTGCTCTCATGCAAATCGAAGTCCGTCGACTCGATGACGCGACGAGCAGCGTGGCCATCAGCACCAGCGGCATCCCCATCATTCTGCGCAGGCGCCTTGCAGGGCATGTGTTCTCTAGAGACGTCCCAAAGAGTAGGCTCACTGTGCTGCATGCTGCGGAGGTATTTTATTTCACAGCGCCTCGGACACGAATCCAAAAGCATACCATCATTGACACCCTTGTGATTGCAAGTCCTTGCAAAAGTATGCAGACTTGTACAGAAATGCAACATGAAAAAATACGACGACAATGACGGGCGTGCGAGAGAAGATTGAGGTGGGAAGCAGGAGGGTAAGGCGGGGGAGGAGGGGGAGGTAAGCCCGAGGAGGACAAGCGCGTGGAGGAGCTGTCACTCGCCCCTATAAGTGTAATAGGTACCTACACGCGCACATACATACACATCTACATACATACAGACATACACACATACCTACATACATTGCAAAATGCATTAAAAACAGGTATGTGACCACACATACATACCTACATACATGCATATAGACATACATATACTCATACACATATTCCTAGACATATACATGTACATACGCATATATATATATATATATATGTATGTAGATGTACATGCACATACATATACATCTGCATATGCATATGTATATGATATGCATACACATATACATATACAGATACAGATACAGATGCATATGCACATGCATATGCATATACATCTACATGTACATATACGTATGCCTATACATATACGTTTACAGTTATACACATACATATATATATATATATTAATTTTTAAACATAAAATTACCCTGGCGACGTACCCAACCCCTGCGCAAAAGCGGGGCGCAAATAGTTTTGGATACTTTATAAGGGGACGATGACGGAGCGAGGGTTACATATGTCTGCAGACGGAATTCGGGAGACTCGCAGGACACTGGCTACAGGAAAAGGGCTTGATAAAGCTGATGATTTACAATTCCTGAGCACTCCTAGCCACTTCGAAAACGGGGATCACAGCAGGCCTCGAAAGTGGCGACAGGTTCACAGATCGCAGCCCCGCAGGGATGGCGAGGTCTCATTTGAATCTGCCCGTGGCCATCACTGTGCTGGGCCCCCCAGCAGGCCTCGAAAATGGCGGCAGTTTCGCAGATCGCAGCCCCCCAGGGATGGCGAGGTCTAATTTGAATCCGCGCGTGGCCCTCACTGTGCTGGGCCCCCCAGCAGGCCTCGAAAATGGCGACAGTTTCGCAGATCGCAGCCCCCCAGGGATGGCGAGGTCTAATTTGAATCCGCGCGTGGCCCTCACTGTGCTGGGCCCCCCAGCAGGCCTCGAAAATGGCGACAGTTTCGCAGATCGCAGCCCCCCAGGGATGGCGAGGTCTAATTTGAATCCGCGCGTGGCCCTCACTGTGCTGGGCCCCCCAGCAGGCCTCGAAAATGGCGACAGTTTCGCAGATCGCAGCCCCCCAGGGATGGCGAGGTCTAATTTGAATCTGCCCGTGGCCCTCACTGTGCTGGGCCCCCCAGCAGGCCTCGAAAATGGCGACAGTTTCGCAGATCGCAGCCCCCCAGGGATGGCGAGGTCTAATTTGAATCCGCGCGTGGCCCTCACTGTGCTGGGCCCCCCAGCAGGCCTCGAAAATGGCGACAGTTTCGCAGATCGCAGCCCCCCAGGGATGGCGAGGTCTAATTTGAATCCGCGCGTGGCCCTCACTGTGCTGGGCCCCCCAGCAGGCCTCGAAAATGGCGACAGTTTCGCAGATCGCAGCCCCCCAGGGATGGCGAAGTCTAATTTGAATCCGCGCGTGGCCCTCACTGTGCTGGCCCCCCCAGCAGGCCTCGAAAATGGCGACAGTTTCGCAGATCGCAGCCCCCCGCAGGCAAGACAGGAAGAGGCAGGGAGGGAGGGAGGAGGCGGGAGGAGGGACGCGACCACACTGCTCTATTCAAAACGAATACCCAACCAAGGAGGGTTGGGAAATAAACATATATATCCACAAATGCAAATATCTATACATATGATTATGCATGTACATATACATATACAGATACATATGCCTATACATATGCATATACATATGCAGATACCTATCCACATACACATACATATACAAGAAAACGTAAACATATGCATACACATATACATATACATATACATACATTTATAAAACAAACAAACAAAAATACCCTGGCGACGTACCCAACCCCTGCGCAAAAGCGGGGCGCAAATAGTTTAGGATACTTTATAAGGGGGCGATGACGGAGCGAGGGTTACATATGTCTGCAGACGGAATTCGGGAGACTCGCAGGACACTGGCTACAGGAAAAGGGCTTGATAAAGCTGATGATTTACAATTCCTGAGCACTCCTAGCCACTTCGAAAACGGGGATCACAGCAGGCCTCGAAAGTGGCGACAGGTTCACAGATCGCAGCCCCGCAGGGATGGCGAGGTCTCATTTGAATCTGCCCGTGGCCCTCACTGTGCTGGGCCCCCCAGCAGGCCTCGAAAATGGCGGCAGTTTCGCAGATCGCAGCCCCCCAGGGATGGCGAGGTCTAATTTGAATCCGCGCGTGGCCCTCACTGTGCTGGGCCCCCCAGCAGGCCTCGAAAATGGCAACAGTTTCGCAGATCGCAGCCCCCCAGGGATGGCGAGGTCTAATTTGAATCTGCGCGTGGCCCTCACTGTGCTGGGCCCCCCAGCAGGCCACGAAAATGGCGACAGTTTCACAGATCGCAGCCCCCCAGGAATAACGAGGTCTAATTTGGGTCTGCCCGTGGCGTCACTATGCTAGGCCCGCCAAGCAGGCCTCGAATGTGGCAACAGTTTCACAGATCGCAGCCCCCCCCAGCGATGGCGAGATCTAACTTGAATCTGCCCGTGGCCCTCACTGTGCTGGGCCCCCCAGCAGGCCTCGAAAGTGGCGACAGTTTCACAGATCGCAGCCCCCCAGGAATGGCGAAGTCTAATTTGAATCCGCGCGTGGCCCTCACTGTGCTGGGCCCCCCAGCAGGCCTCGAAAGTGGCGACAGTTTCACAGATCGCAGCCCCCCAGGGATGGCGAGGTCTAATTTGAATCCGCCCGTGGCCCTCACTGTGCTGGGCCCCCCAGCAGGCCTCGAAAGTGGCGACAGTTTCACAGATCGCAGCCCCCCAGGGATGGCGAGGTCTAATTTGAATCCGCCCGTGGCCCTCACTGTGCTGGGCCCCCCAGCAGGCCTCGAAAATGGCGACAGTTTCACAGATCGCAGCCCCCCAGGGATGGCGAGGTCTAATTTGGGTCCGCCCGTGGCCCTCACTGTGCTGGGCCCCCCAGCAGGCCTCGAAAATGGCGACAGTTTCGCAGATCGCAGCCCCCCAGGGATGGCGAGGTCTAATTTGAATCCGCCGTGGCCCTCACTGTGCTGGGCCCCCCAGCAGGCCTCGAAAATGGCGACAGTTTCACAGATCGCAGCCCCCCAGGGATGGCGAGGTCTAATTTGGGTCCGCCCGTGGCCCTCACTGTGCTGGGCCCCCCAGCAGGCCTCGAAAATGGCGACAGTTTCGCAGATCGCAGCCCCCCAGGGATGGCGAGGTCTAATTTGGGTCCGCCCGTGGCCCTCACTGTGCTGGGCCCCCCAGCAGGCCTCGAAAGTGGCGACAGTTTCACAGATCGCAGCCCCCCGCAAGCAAGACAGGAAGAGGCGGGAGGCGGAAGAAGGGACGCGACCACACTGCTCTATTCAAAACGAATACCCAACCAAGGAGGGTTGGGGAAAAAAACAAAAAAAAAAAAAAAAAAAAAAAAAAAAAAAGGGGCCTGGCGAAAGACCCAACCATAAGCAAGTGTTAATACCGCAATTGTGGGCATCATCTTCGGTGGAGCTCCCTATGGGGCCACGAAACGTGTGAGGGGTGTGCCGACATGGCGAGGTGGCGGCATGCGGGCCTTGGCACTGGGGCCTTCGGTGGAGCTCCCCACGGGGTTTCGAAGCGTGTGAGGGGTGTACCGAAATGGCGAGGTGGCGGCATGCGGGCCCTGGCACTGGGGCCTTCGGTGGAGCTCCCTATGGGGCTACGAAACGTGTGAGGGGTGTGCCGAACTGGCGAGGTGGCGCGGGGTACTGTCTCTTCAAAACGAGGACCCAACACCACAGGTGGCCGAAATGGGGCCGAAGCAATTGTTAATATCGCAATTGTGGGCATCATCTTCGGTGGAGCTCCCTATGGGGCCACGATCCTCGTGCGGGGTGTGCCGAAATGGGGCGGGGCCGCCATGCGGACCCTGCCACTGGGGCCCTCGGTGAAGCTCCCTATGGAGCCACGATCCTCGTGAGGGGTGCGCCGCAATGGGGCGGGGTCGCCATGCGAACCCTGCCGCTGGGGCCTTCGGTGGAGCTCCCTATGGGGCCACGGAACGCGTGAGGGATGTGCCGAAACAGAGACATGCGGAGGGCAGAGGCAAGGGGGAGGGAGGAGGACTGAGGGGGCAGCGGGAGGAAGGAGGAGGAACGCGGGGCACCGTCTCTTCAAAACGAGGACCCAACACCACAGGATGGTTGGGAATGATTACTCCGATCCTCGTGATGGGTGTGCCGACACGGGGCGGGGCCGTCATGCGAACCCTACCACTGGCGCCTTCGGTGAAGCTCCCTATGAGGTCACGAACCGTGTGATGGGTGTGCCGAAAAGGGGCGGGGCCGCCAAGCGAACCCTGCCACTGGCGCCTTCGGTGGAGCTTCCTATGTGAGGGGTGCCACGATGCCCCTCGCTGGGGCCTTCGGTGGAGCTCCCTATGGGTGCGCCGCAATGGGGCGGGGTCGCCATGCGAACCCTGCCGCTGGGGCCTTCGGTGGAGCTCCCTATGGGGCCGCGATCCTCGTGCGGGGTGTGCCGAAATGGGGCGGGGCCGCCATGCGAACCCTGCCACTGGGGCCCTCGGTGAAGCTCCCCACGGAGCCACGATCCTCGTGAGGGGTGCGCCGCAATGGGGCGGGGTCGCCATGCGAACCCTGCCGCTGGGGCCTTCGGTGGAGCTCCCTATGGGGCCACGATCCTCGTGCGGGGTGTGCCGAAATGGGGCGGGGCCGCCATGCGAAC